CTTCACCTTCTTTCATCCAGTAACCCACTCCTCCCCTCTACAGCTGTCCGTTATTCCCTTTAGTACCTGAAAACCCCATTTGCAGTGGTCCTGAGCTCCATCCTCTGGGGGATTTCACTTCTTCAACCAATCGATGTCCCAAGCTGCAAAGTGGAAAAGGGCCGGAAGACACTGCTCTGGCTGACCAAGGCAGATCACCCTGTGAGGTCACCCTAGCTATGAACATTGAGAAGCATGACTCCATGTCTAATTTTTTATTTTTTAATTTATTTTTATTTTTTTACATAATTAAAAAATGTATTTATTTTTAGAGAGAGGGGAAGGGAGGGAGAAAGGAAGGGAGAAAAACATTAATGTGTGGTTGCCTCTTGTGCACCCCCTACTGGGGACCTGGTCTGCAACCCAGGCATGTGCCCTGACTGGGAATTGAACCGGAGATCCTTTGGTTCGCAGGCCGGCGCTCAATCCACTGAGCCGTACCAGCCAGGGCTAATTTTTTAAATGATAATTTTTCAGGGGATGGTAAATTGGCTTTCAAATAAATAAAATGCAGTCATGTGGATTAAATATGACTCTGGGGGAATAAAAAGTTTGGTAAATGAAGGGAAGTAGAAGAGGATCTGATGGCTAAGATCATAGTTAGACTGACCAGTTACTAGGGTTCAGGCTGAAGGGCTCTGAGACGACATGGGGAGAAAAAGCAGCATGGTTTTGCATTTGATGGGGGACTCTGGTAGGGAGAGGAACTGTCCTGGCATCTCCACATTTCCCCTGACTAGAGGACTTCCCTGCTGGGGATGGAAAGGCATGCTTACAGGCCGTGAGAAGGGATCCCCAGACCCGTGGCCTCTTAAGCTTTTTGAGGACTCCATCAATAAAAATCTAAGCATGTTCCCCTACTTATTTCTTTATTTAGAGGTTGTATGCAAGTACTACTGCACTAATATACCATGTGCACAATAATATGAGGAGCATTGATTTAAAAAGAATGATATAAAATAACCAGACGTTCTACTATTTTCATCCCCCATACGCCCAAGTAGACGGCCTCATTCGTCCTTGGTTCTCTGCACCTACCTGAGTCCATACAGTGGTCCCCCCGTTATCTGCAGGGGATATGTTTCAAGACCCCTAGTGGATGCTTGAAACAGTGGGTGGTACTGAAACTTATATGTACTATGTTTCTTTCCTATACCTATAGACCTATGATAAAATTTAATTTATAAGTTAGGCACAGTGAAAGATTAACAACACTAATAACGAAATGGAACAATTATAATAGTGTATTATAATAGAAGATGTGAAAGTGGTCTCGCTCCCATAATATCATGCTGTACTCACTTTTTCACCTAAAGAAAGTACTTTATGGCTTCCCTTTGGCATATCTCAACTACTAAGTAAAATAAGAACTACCTGAACACAAGCACCATGGTACCTACATAGTAGATCTGATAACCAAGACGGCTACTAAGTGACCGATGGGTGGAAAGTGCATACAGCATAGGATGCACTAGACAAAGGGATGATTCATGTCCTGGGCAGGAGAGAGCAGGATAACATGAGATTTTATCACACTCTAAGAAAGGTGTGCAATTTAAAACATATAAATTGTTTATATCTGGAACATTCCATTTAGTATTTTCAGACTGTGATTGACTGCAGATAACTGAAACCACAGAAAGCAAAACTGTGGACGGGGGTGGGGGGACTACTGTATACAGAAGGAGCAGAATAATGCACACCCAGTTGATCATGTTCATGTCTCAAGGGCCGCCCGCACTTCTCGAGTGGTGGTTGGTTGAACTAGTTATGATCAAAACATCCAGATGACTTTTTGATTGAGATTTAGGAGTCTGCCCAAGAGCATCAGTGAGAAAACTTTTTTGGAAGAACAGTGTTTTTGTGTTCTTACATAGAAACCCTGCCTTAGAGCTTGATAACCTTTTACTTGACATTTCTGCTCCTCACTTGCAACATGGGATTACTCTTGGAGGGATGAAATTTTTGAATGTTATGAAAACTGTCAGGTTAAAATTATGTCTTATATCTTTCTTACTCCATGAGGACTATAGACTTGACTACATATTTTTCAAAGAATTTAAGATTTCCAGCACATGTTCGTTATTACAAATGGCCAAAGAACGCCACAGCCTTGTAGCTTCAGAAATGCAAACTTCACAACAGATTCCTACATCCTTTTAGTTACTTTTTACCATAATGAAGCTTAGTTTTTGCACATAGTGACCAGATGATTTAATCTAATCCCCTTGGTTTAGGTCATGAAGGCCTAGGGAAGGCAAACAATTACTTAGGAAACAGAAGAGCCAAAGCTGGAGCCCAGGGTCCTGGCTGCAGATAACTTTTCTCTCCACCATTGTCACTTCTAGTTTTCGTATTTGCCTTTCATCTGCTCTGGCTTCAGGATACACGCGTAAGCCCCTTGGGTGTCTATTGGTGGCTGCACTATCTCAAAGGAGACCTTAAGGTGCAGAAGTGGCCTATCCACCTGACTTTCTAAACTCTGAACAACCTTGTCAGCCTGCAAAACACTCCTCTAGGCCCAGTTCGTATAATCTGGCTAGAGATGTCAAAGGTCTTGACACAAGGAAACAAACTTCCCAGAAGAAAGAGTGCATAGAGATGACTGGACTTAGAGCAAGGATGCAGGCAGCTGGACACCTTGAACATGCCCAATAGTCCCTTCTGTACTTCTCCCTTTTGCTCCCTAGTCAGTGTGTCTTCTTCTTCTAATGACAAGGGTGACTGGGTGAGGAATCGATGTGTATTATGACAAGCCTTTAGTGGATTTTATGAGTTCTAAGCAGTATTGAAGTGTTGTTAGAAGAGGAAGAGTTGGAAAAGGGTTGATTTATAAGGATAAGGCTGTAAAGGCAGAACACTTTTTGCAGTCACAGTTGGGGTGTGTGAATATGGGTTCAGGCAGGAGAAACTGGTGGCTGTCTCTCTTGTTGGGAGTATGTTCTGGGAAAATAATGGCCTTTTTGTCAGTTACTTCTGGTCCACAGAAGATGCCAACTTGGGCAGCCAGATGAGCTGGCATCTCACATCTGCAGAAAAGCCTTCCATTTACCCATATACCTGGGGCTAGGCTTGTACTGTAGCAAAGCTGCGGAAATGAGACATGAAGGCAGAGAAATATGATGAAGGATGCCCACACTCAGGTGGTGGAACTGAACTTTGAGAAGAGGGGCTAGGATCAAGGATCTGCTCCTTCTCTCTTTCCTAGACTCCTCCTACCCCCTAAAACAGCCCTCTCTATATTAGGTATAAAACTGAACAGCTTCGGGAATCCTCCCACAACTATATCTACCCACCCAACTCACCCCAGAGAGAAGACCTGGCTATCTGCAGCAGAGGAGAAGACACTTGGGGAGCCCTGGGTCATTGTCTCCAAGTACCCTAAAGCATGCATGTTAAGAGGCATAAGGCTTTGGGTAGCTGCAGAAAAAGAGAGAATAAGACCCACAGGTGGGAGTTGCATGGACAGAGAGTTCCAATCAATAGAAGGAAGGATGTTTCATAATCAGGCTCTCCAACAATGGGACAGGCTCCCCAGAGTGCTGTGAGTAGCTGTCACTGAGGCATTAAGAGAGATGTGGATGACCAAGGTGTGGATGTGTACCATACTCGCTGACAGACGGGGAAGGGGGGCAGTGGGAATAGGGGGTTAGATATTCTCATTCTGTGATTCCAAAGACGGCGCAATGCAAGGACAAATCATCCACCAATGTTAATTATTTTACACAGTTCTGTAAGATTAAAACAACATCCTCCAGGAGAAAACCAAGTCAATTATGAGAAACAAGTTGTCCTTAAGAAACAAAATAGATCAGGTGGGAGGGCAGGATCACAGCACCCTGTTGCATGGCACCTGTGCCTCCATAGCCTCCGTAGGTACCAGTGTCCTCACTTGTACTTGTGAAGATGGTAATGAAAGCTACCGGGGCTGGGGGGTTGTTGGGAGAAGAAAATGAAACAGTAACAGATAACTGAATGTTTGCTATGGGCTAGGGGCTGTTTTAACAGCTTTACTTACATTATTTAATTCTTACAACTGCACATTTTACAAATATAGAAACATGGGCAAAGAGAATAAGAGAGTTACTCAAGGCTATAGAGCTAGGAAAAGGGAGAGTCGGATGAACCCTGGGAGATGTCTACACACTGCACCCAAACACTTAGCACAGTGCCTGGGACAACATAGGGGCTCATGTGATGACTGTTATTACAGAGAGGAAGAGCAATATCGTAGTCAAGGGGGGGTCCTCCGGAGCCATTCTGTGCGGCATTATACAGGTAACTAAAGTTCTCCATGCCTGGTGTTCTCATCTGTAAAGAGGGCACAAAGCGGCCATTTCATAGGAAGCCTCAAAGATTAAGTTATTTTATGCATGTAAAACGTTTAGAAAAATGCCTGGCAACTAATGAGTGCTCCACAAACGTAAGGTAATACCGTATAAACACGCTCTATATTACACACACACACGCATACACACAGGTATTTGGTATAGTAATATAACATACTCCATGCCTATGTCTGTCATAGCCATACAAAAAAGGCAATCACTCAAGAAGAGTCACAGTTTAGTGATGAGGTATTATTAACAGCCACTGATGCCTTCTGGTTGTACAATATAGAAGAAAGTGTGTTTATTTGATTGCTTTGTGTTAAACCAAACCACAACTCCTATGTCCAGAGGCCCTTAATGTTACTGCATAGTGCTAATCTTTCTACAGGTGGTTCTTGTCCTGCAAATCTGCCTCTCAGCTTCTCCCTGAACCGCCCATCAAATGACATTTCCCAGATTTGAATGAGTGAAGGGCAGGGCACTACAGAGACAACCCTGGAGAAGAAATGGAATGTTTTCCATTGACTTTTTCTGCAGTAAACCCTTCAAAAGACACCCAGAATTGAAATGGGGATACAGGCTGAAGTCCTCCACCAAATATCTGTAGAGCTGGTGGTCCTGCTGTCCTACCTGATGAGCTTGCTGCCAATCTGCTGCCTCAGCTCCAGTCTCTCTTCATCTGTCTGCCTGGGAAGGATGTTCTTTTCTTCTAGCTCTCGCTTGGAGGGCCTGTTGCTGAGTTTGATAGCTAAGGAGTCCTTCCTGCACACCTTCATGGCCAGGGAACCTGTGGGAGGGAGAAATAAGTTAATAATGCTGACATGCGTGTGTGTGGGCCATGAGGGAAAAGGCAGGAAGACAATGGGCTTAACACCTGAGGGTGGTTAAGGCCCCAAAGGGCACTTCAATAGAGTTCCTGCAATCAACATGTTCTATATACCACACAGTGTTGAGCATGTGAGGAGCACATGGGGAGCCTATGACCTGATCTTTGCTCTCCAGGAACTTTCAGTGTGCAGGTAAGATCTCATAAAGGAGGGCAGAGCAGTCTTGTGGACAAAAGAATGCAAAGTGGGAGAAAGGACTGCGGCCTTCAGCAACCACGGGCAGCTTCACGGAGCAGGAGGGGCTGCCGCCCGCAGGACAAATGGGAAGTGCCCAGGCAGCAGGTGGGTGAGTATCTGCATGTGGGACCACTGAGGTCACAGATGAGCCAGGTAATCACAGGAGACAAACGAGAACTGTGGGGGAGAGTGGGCAGCGCAGTGCAGAGCAACAGAGGGGGACAGAGGAATTGGGACAACTGTAATAGAACAGTTAAAGAAAAAAAGGAAGATCAGTGACCATGGAGCTGGGGCGATGTGAGGGGAAATAAAGCCGGGCAGACAAAGTGGGGTCCCTTTGGGGTGGAAGTGAGTTCATTAAAACAGGCCGTTTTGGGGGACTGTTCTTTTCAACGTAAGAGGTTCTGAGCAGCCACAGGGCAGGGCTTCCTCCCATCTGGAATAAATCCATGGCTCTCAACCAGGGGTGATCTTGTCCCTGCAAAGGGACACTTGGCGAAGTCTAGAGACATTTTTGGTTGTCAAAACTGGGGTTTGGGGGGAAGGTGCTGCTGGTATCTAATGGGCAGGGGCCAGGGATGCTACTAAATATCCTGCAGTGCACATGAAGGCCTCACAACAAAGACTCATCAAGGCCAAAATGTCAACAGTGCTGAGGCTGCGAGGTGCTGGTATAAAACATTCAGTTCTCTGGGCAGGAAACAGTGCTCAGTGGCTGAGCAGCTGCTCTTCGCACTCATGGATCATTTGGGCCTCAGGCTGCCCCTCTGTGGTCCTCTCCTCGACATGTCATTGCTCAGCAGGATCTCACCAAGGCAGAGAAAGAGACTGGGAAGCAGCAAGTTTGGGAGAGTTCTCTGAATTTTATTTAGTACTAGTGTTCTCTCTCCCTCCACTGGTATTAGAACGTGGGCTTTGCTATGAGACAGCTGGCATCAAACCCTAGCACTGCCACTTGGCAGATGTGAGGCTCTGGGCAAATCACTACCCTCTCCCTTTTCTTTCCTTTTCTGTAAAATGGGGCAATAGTGTCTATGCGCTGGGTGTTAAGATGTAGGTAACAGAATGAAAATCTTAGTACATGGCCAGATGCACTGTATATTCAGTGAAAAATTGATATAATATAAATTCATTTATTAAAAAGTTAACCAAACATCAGTCTCTAATCACTTAACTGTGTTTATTATTCATAGCCAGAATGACATATTTTGAACTTTGCTTTCTTTATTTCTTCTCTATTAGTACATCTGAAGGCCTTAAATAAGAAATTTAAATTCAGGCCTTTTAAAGTTGTTGAGGTCTGCTTAAAATGAATTTGCTGCACATACAGTGGTGATATGTCTTGAGTATTACATAGACTGGGATTGAAATTTAGGGTCCCCATCTCTTTTTTTGAGGGAGGGGTTGCAGCCCAAGGGAAGCAATCAAAGAAAGGAAGAGCCATCTAAGAAGGAGCAGGTGGTAGCATGATATAATTTTTAGATCTAAGAGGATGTGTAGAGGACATCTATCCTTTCATTTTACTAATGAAGAAACTGAGGCCATAAGAGGTTAACTGAGCCTGTGACCCAGGGCCAGATAACACCGGACCCTTAATTAATGCACCAGAGTGTTGGGCAGGTCATCAGTGCTCTTTCTATAAGCCCCTCGCCCTGGTTGAAGGGTTGGGTGCACGCACTGGTATACAATGAGCTGTCATCATCCTCGTCTTCCTCCTCCTCCTCCTCTTCTCTTGTGTATAGGCAAGACGAGTCTTCGTAGTCTGATTCATGAGGCACATTTTCTTTATTGTCATCACATTCAATCACAACAGTTGGCACTTGTCTTATTTCTGGAAGGCCCAGAGGTCCTGCTTTTGTGATACTGTCACCCGAGTGCAAACCAGAGCTGTGGTAAGAAGTGGAACAGGGGACCCGCTGCTCAGAGCTGTTTAAAGAGAAGGAGAAAAGAAGACATTCATTCTGGCTAGAGTCATATAAATGCATTGGAACCCTTTTAAAACTCAGTTGTCCAGTCCTAAGAGATGAAGGGTCTCCAGGGCAATTGAAGTCTCATTTCTCATCCTAGAGGTAAACATGTGAAGGACAGCAGAATTTTCTGGTAGCAGGATAGCCTAGGAAGTGGGACTTCTAATCCTCTGTGGACAGATGGTGGCATTACTAGCACAGCAATGTGAATGTACTCAATACCGCTGAACTACACACTTTACAATAGTTAAAATCATAATTTTTTGTCCTGTGTACTTAAAAATAAAAAATAAAAACACAAAACTGAAAAAGTTTTATTCCACAGGTTTTTCTGGTTAAGATTCATATGTCTGAGTGCCAGAGGAAAGTTCCTTTGCCACCCACATGTCTCATAGCAGGAGTGAAAGGATTAATTTGACGGAGGAGCTAGAGATCCACAAAGAGATAATGCATGAGGTTCTAGCTTTCAAAGCCATGCAGCATGACTGGCAGGGACTGAGTGAAGGACAGACTGCTTTCATGCATGGAGATTCAGGGAAAGAGAAGACGTGGGACCACAAGGCTGGGGACCCATTCATGAACATCAGGGTGGACGTGGTCAAGGATAACTTAGAGAAAGCTCTTTCTTTGGGAAGGTGTCAGACGCTCAGCAACCACAGGTAATGATAAGCCTGGTTTTTTCTTTTTTGCAGGTCAATTTTCTAGGAAGCAACAATGACGATATTCTTGGTCTTCCCTTTTAAATTAAGCCAACTCTGATAAAATGTATTTTTTAATTAAAAATGATTTGCTTCATAAATAGAAGCGATATAAGTTCATTGTAGGAAAATTAGGAAATGCAGAACATCAAAAATAAAGAAAATAAAGTAGTTATTTTCTTAATAGAGTCTACCTTAGGCTCCCAGAGAAATTTAGAATCTTTTTTATGACAGGTTCTGAATCAAGTTCAGCAAGAATAATGGGACAGAAACATATAGTTAAAAGTTTCTAATTTTTTTTCAGGTTAACTGGAATAAAATTTGTATCTTTCATTTATGGAATTACTGAACATGGAAAACTCAATGCATTTGCCTTCCAAAAGTGTTTGACATTCATAAAATAATGGAATGTGAGGTTATATTGATACTATATATCAATAAATTTTAAACTTAAAATATTTAATACAAAAGAAAAGTCTTAGCCATGACATAATGCATGATAGTCTCCTTTGAATCTTTCAATTATGCTATGAATTATTGCTATGTCTAATTTAAATTCAATTAACTTTCTCCCTTCCATTGTTTCCAAAGGGCTATTTTGCTCTTTGCATTTTTCGCATAACTCTTCAGTGACACAAATGGAAAATCTAGTTAACACATTATGAGCTATGATGTTCAAGGCAATGAATTCAATCAACTAAATAAAAACATCCCTTCAGCTACTAAGATTAAATCACATATTTAAAAATGCAGCACCTTATTAGACACCAGCAACTAAAGGGATCCATTTCCCACCTGGTTTAACACAAATGGTAATGAGAACAGGAAGGTGGAATGCAAGAATGATGGCCTGGGTGATAGATACAATGCTAACTGTAGGGTGACTGACTGGGGGAGCTAGTGTCTCCCCTCACAAGGTGGCTTTTCCTTCAGGCAACAACACGCGCTGTGTTCCATTGCTGCTTGGGATTCTACATTGGGTATTAAAAGAAGTATGGATAGAAGAGGCAAAATTCAATTCCACGGCTCATGTCTGCCCCACCCCCGCCTTCCTCTCCTGAACCCATAGATCAATTAACAACAGTTGCTACAGAGGCACAGAGCTGAAGGCAAGAGATGAAAGGCAGCCGATAGACATTCATTCATGTTTGGTGGGGAAAAAAATTGAAAACCAGAAGGTATTAGTTCCTTAAGGCAGAGGGCTCCACTCTGCCTCAAGAGGATAGAGAAAGGAGAAATATTATGCAGAGGAAGATAAACTCAGCCTCACAGGCAGCCTGTGATAAACAGGAGACTGTGGTTTCCCTTCCCTCAAAGACACAAGGGAAGTGTGAGACTTTGAGTAGATAGGATTATAAAGCAGACCTCACCCTCACCCCCTACCCAGTTGCTTAGGCAGGTACTAGGTATCATGATACCTACCAGCCCTGTAAAATATGGACCAGTCATGGCCATTGGCGACTCCCTGTTGGGGGAGCTATAGAAACAGCTGGAGACCTCACCTGGCCGATAAGGTCATCTTCCTGAAGTGCTGACTCCAGCATGTGACAGAATGTATAATATCCCATAAAGATGAAAAAGGTGTTTTTCAACCCAGGAAGCTAGGTAAATCTACCAAAAGGGTTTTTAAATATCCTATTAATAAATATCCCTTGACTGCCAAAACTCTAAGAAGAAGGAAGAAAAACACACAGATGATCCATCTATCCAGAGAAGCCCGGGAGAGCCAGAAAAGACAAATAAGAGTGAAGAGATGGCTGAGAAGGAGGCCGGGACGGTTATTATGTGACTTCGGTCTGAGGAGTTAGGATACAAATTTGAGTCCAAGTTTTGTCACTTACTATTGATCAAATTATTACTATTATTATTTTATTATTTTTATCCTCACCACAGGATACATTTTATTGATTTTAGAGCGAGAGGAAGGAAGAAAGAGAGAGAGAGAAAAACATCAACACGAGAGAGAAACGTTGGTTTTCTTCCGTACATGCCCCGACTGGGGGGACTGAACCCACATGTTTTTTGGTGGGAGGACATTCCAACCAATTGATCCACCGAGCCAGAGTGGTCAAATTATTTAATGTCTCTGAGCATCAGCTTCCTCAAGTGCAACACTGAGAGAGCCACACCATTTTGTAGAGCAGGTGCACATGAAGTGTCCAAATGGCCATGCCCTTATGTGAGATCCTCACTTGTTATCTGTAGAAATGGCCTTCCAAGTAGTTTCCAAACACTCCGTTTCAGTCTGTTTTCCACACTGTTGTTGGAGCAACTTTCTAAAACTCAGCTCTGGTCTCAGCCATAAGCATGCTGCCTGCCTGCCCGATCTACAATGCCAGTGCTTCACAAGTGACTCACGTGGAAATTCAGTTAACACATCGTGAGCTGTACTATTCAAGGCAAGAAACGAAATCAACTTAAATGTAGCACTTTATTATGTTTGCTCCCACCCCGGGTGCCTGTGGGCAGGGAGGGCAACACCCAGCTGAGTATCAGTCTTAGTAATGCTGGTTTTATAACACAGAGTTGTCACTTAGAAGGTGTGCTCTACATCAAAGGTCTCACTGCTGAAGAAAAGGGAAAACCTAGAAGAAGTCATTTAAACCCGGCATGACATACAATGCCTTGCACAATTTGACCCATAAATTATATGGGGACAGAACCCTGCTTTTGTCCCCATACAATCCACCCCTTGGTCACATACAACACTCCTGGCCTGGAATGTGCTTCTATCCCACCCTCACCTTAATTTGTTTACCTTTTAATAATTGTCTCAAGCAACACGTTGCCTATGTCCTTGGGAGATTCCTCAAGAGTAATATATAATTGCGAACATCTGTTTGCTTACTAGCTTCCCTTCCCCGGTCAGGCTGTAGGCTCCTTGAGGGGTAGGGACCATGTCTAATTCACATTTGTAGCAGGTGGCTAGCACCATGTTTGACACAAAGCGGACAGTCAGTAATTGTTGTTTTTGCTGAATGAAAGAAATATGGGCTGGGATCTCTGACATGTAGAGGTGCATTTGTAAGTGGCTGACAAATCATATTTATAGGGTATTAACTAAAAGATCTCTTTTTCATTTTCCAAAATGCATCTGGTGGTGTATTGCAAGGCCACGGGCGCCCCTGATGTGGTTGCCACTTTTATCAATGGCGTAATAACAAAAAAGGTATCCTTATCAAATAAATGGAGCTCTGAGGTTGAAAAGGAAAGGGGGGTGTGGGCAGTGAACATTTACTGAATGTGTCACCCACTGTTTTAGGGACTTTCACATCCAGTATTTCATTTCATCTTTATTATAACTCTGCAGGGGAGGTACCATTATCCTCATTTTAATAAGCAGGATATAGAGGCACTGAGAGGGTAATAAATAGGCCCATGAGGATGCTGGCAGTAAAGAAAGGACTAATCTGAACCCACTGTATCCAGAAATTGAGTTATGATACTTGTAAGATTGTGTACTTTGACTAAACACATGTCCTACTAATTGTACATGTGCAAGGTAGAGAGAACATCACGCCTTATCAACAACACATGTACAAAGCAGGCATTATTACTTTATAACTATTTTAAATCTTGCTAACCAGGGTAAGTAATAGTGTTCTCCCCTGATGTGGTCAGGCCACACCTGGGGCACGGAGTGTAAAGAATTCACCTCAGACACTGGATTATGATGGCCAGCACGGTAAGAGGAGTCATCTGCTCATCTATTGTCATAGTTAGTGGCTTTTGCACCAAAATGGCAGAGTTGAGTACTTACAACAGAGTCTTAAATATTGACTATCTGGATCTTCACAGAAAAAGATTTTTGACCCTGGTCTAAACCAGTATCCCTAAACCTTGATCATATCCACACTCCTTAGTTTTCTTTTGTTTGTGCCATATTTGAAGTCCATTTACAATACTATTTACCATATTTTGCCATATATAATGTGCTCCTGTGTATAATGTGTGCCCATGTTTTTGGCCAAAACTTCCAGAAAAAAAAATCTTTCGTCTTAATTTTTTAACTCAACTATTTATTTATTTTTTATTTATTTATTTATTTATATTTAGAGACAAAACCAATTATTGTATTTCACTGTATCCATTTTGCATATGGCTATCATTATTGCTTTCTTGAGTTACATTTTTAATGCATAAGCATAAATAAAAGAACTAAAAACATTTATATAGATACGTAATTAGTACTCCCCATGTATAATGTGCATCCTTAATTTTCCCTCAAAATTTTGGGTGAAAAAATGCACATTATAAATGG